TTTGCTTGTCCTCAAGCAAAAAAAACAACAAGTAGTTCGAAGAGATATATCGAACGAGCCAAAATTAACGAACATGCAAAATGAAACTCTCATTATCATTCGGTTATCCCAAAATCAAAATCCAATCCGAGACACGGTCCCCACATAGTGAATCAAACGAAACAAAAGCTCGTCCCGAGTCATTCTACGCATGATAACTCGAGTCAAACTCCCTCATTCACATATACGTGCAAAAACCATAAATGATCTACAAAACATGAAATAATAAGCACGAGATCAATAAGCCACCTCCCCAATTTTCTCCTTCTTTTTTTTCTTTTTTTTTATTAATGAGCTACTTTTTTCTAAATGAGAGCCGTTAGGACGATTATTACCTAGGTCTAACCTCGGGGTTTGTCCCCGAGTCTCCTAGGCCGGTTTCCCGTGCTCATTGACCCAATTTTTCAAGAAGACTAACCGAGCCAAGAGGAGCCTAATCCTTTCAACTCTCACGAACTCATTTTCGTGAGCTTCTATTTCTAAACAAGGTTTCCAGACGAGATGATCTAGGTTTAACCTCGAGGGGTTTCCCCGAGTTTCCTAAACCGGTTTCCCGGGCTCATTATCCCAATCCACGAAGTGGCTCAAAATAAGAGGAGCCTAATCCGTACTTCCCTGCGAACTCACATTTTATTCCATTTTTTTTTCGAAGGGAGTGGCACACAAGAATACATCAAGAATACAATAACATGAACATCAATAATCATCAAGACGTACCACAAGTGCATAGATAACACGTTTACAACGATAATCGAACATAAGTAGGGTTGTAAACAAATCAAACATTTTTGATTCGATTCGTGATTCGAATTCGAAATATTCGAATTCGAATTCGAATTCGAATGATGTTTTAGATTCGAAATTATAACGAATTCGAATTCGAAGGTGTAGATATTCGATTCGTTAACAATAATTATATAAATTTTACAAATTATACATAATATACATTTTGTTTATAATATATGTATATATATATTGTTATATTCCTTTTATGACATAAAAAGTAAATAACATCATAAATTAACAATTTTTTATAAAAATATATGAAAAATAAAATTTATTTTTGTAATTATAATATTTTATACAAATT